GGGTGGGGGCCCGGGGGAGGACTATAGGCCCCCCCTCATTATCCTTTATGGCCCCCACCCACCGCTCAGGTGTGGGGGCTGGTGCGGAGGACAATAGGTTCCCTCCTCATCATCCTTTAGGGCCCCCACCAGCCGCTCATGGGTGCGCCGGGGGGAGGACAGTAGGTCCCCCCCTCATTTCCCTTTATGGCCCCCACCCACCGCTCAGGGGTGGGTGCCAGGTGGAAGACAATAGGTTCCCCCCTCATTGTTATTTATGGCCCCCATCCACCGCTCAGGGGTGGGGGCTGGGGGAGAGAACAATAGGTCCCCCCATTATCCATTAGGGCCCCCACCCGCCGCTCATTATGGGGGCTGCTCACTGTTTAGTAGACATGCCCCTATTCGCGGTATAGCGAGTAGGGGCATTTGGGAGATTTTAATCTCCCTTATGCTATTATGGGGGTCATATTGACCCCATAGAGTGAGGGAGGACATGGGGGGCTTAGGAAGTGGCGGGGACCATTGCTCCCTGCCGCTTTTATCTTTACATATTACAAGGAGGTAGCTGTGTGCCTGTAGCTCCCTCCTTGTAATAAACTGAACGAACAAACAAACACTGATATTCAGTGTTTGTTTGTTCGTCTGACATTTCTACTCATTCATTTGTCTTTCTGACGAACGAATAAATAGATGAAATTCCCGTTCGCATGCCCAAGTGTTTAACTGGGCATGTGAGGGAATTTCACAGCGCTATCTAGTGGGCAGATGACATGTCCCACAGGTACTTTATCTACCCACACAAAGATGCGGCGCCCAGAACATAGGTCCAGGCAAAATAAATAAATAAATAAATAGGTAATATGGGGAGATTAGGGGCATTTGGGGTGACTAGGGGGTTAGTTAGATGTAGTGGAGTCGGGAGGGGGGTTAAAAAAAAAAACCCAAAAACGGGATTCGGCCATGACAGTGCCGCTTTAAAGGGACACTCCAGGCACCCAGACCACTTCTGCCCATTGGAGTGCTCTGGGTGCTAACTCCCACTACCCTTAACCCTGCAGCTGTAATTATTGCAGTTTTCATAAACGCGATTGGTCTCCCCCGCCGGATGAGGGGGAGGAGCGTGGGCGGACCCAAAACCACCGCCGAGGGACATCACCCCTTCAGCAACATGGGATGGGGGTGGGGGGGGTGGGAGGGAGAGGGGACCTGCAGTGCCAGGAAAACTTTTTTTCCTGGCACTGGATTGTCCCTTTAAGGACTGAGCCAATTGTACAAGTTGTGATCAAAACAAAACGTAAATAAAATGTGGAATTTGCTTTATATGTGGTTCAACCATTATTCACCTCTTTCATATTAAGTGTACCCACACTTATTATATATCATTTTGTTCAGGAGAAACAGGGTTTTCATTTCATATCAAATATTTATATATGAAATATAATAAAATCTAAAAACGTATGAGAAATTAAGACATTTTGTGATTTTTAAAGTTCTGCATGACATTTTAACTGTGAATGTCACAATACTGTTGGATTTTACTGAAATAAATAAACATATTTGTTTTCAGAAATGTCTCACAAGTACAACAGTAACCCGCTGTACAGGTTTTATAGGTTTTTGGAAACTTACAGGGGTCAAATGTAGGGCTTTCCCCTTTTCCATGTTTGCACATTGAAATTTGCCAGATTGATTTGCTGGGCCTATGTTGTGTTTGAGACCGTATGGCAGGCCAGCAATAAAAATTAACCCCATCATGGCATACAATTTATAAAATTAGACAACCCACGGTATTCAAAATGGGGTATGTTCAGTCTTTTTTAGTAGCCACTTAGTCAAAAACCCTGGCCAAAATTCGTGTTTATATTAGTTTGTTTTGCATGTTTCACAAATAAATTGCCCTTTCACCGATGATATAATCAGTGTAATAGATTTTACTGCTCTAAAACACTCATATTTGTGCAGAGCAATGTCTCATGAGTACAACAGTACCCCTCAAGTACAGGTTTTATGGTGATTTGGAAAGTTACAGGGTCAAATATAAGATCTGCCAATTTCTGTTTTTGCAAATTGCTGTTTGCCAGATTGGCTATGTTGCCTTTGAGACAGTATGGCAGCCCAGAAAGGAAAATGAACTCCACCATGACCATAAAGCACACGCTGCATATACTACTGTGTGTGTGTGTGTGTGTGTGCTGTGTGAGGGTGCTGTTAGTGTGATGTGTGTGTGACGGTGCTGGTAGTGTGCTATGTGGGTGAGGGTGTTTGTGTGTGCACACTTGTGAGGGTGCTGTTTGTGTGTGAGGGTACTGGTAGTGTGCTGTGTGTGTGTTTGTTAGGGTCCTGTTTGTGTTTGTGAGGGTACTGTTAGTGTGCTGTGTGTGTGAGGGTGCTGTTTGTGTGCTGTGTGTGAGGGTGCTGTGTGTAAGGGTGCTGTGTGTGTTTGTGAGGGTGCTGTATGTGTGTTGGTGCTGTGTATGTGTGTGGGTGCTGCATGTGTGTAGGTGCTGTGTATGTGTGTGGGTGCTGTATGTGTGTGGGTGCTGTATGTGTGTGGGTGCTGTATGTGTGTGGGTGCTGTATGTGTGTGCGCTGTATGTGTGTGCGCTGTATGTGTGTGGGTGATTGTGGGGGGTGGAGGTGGGGGTACATTACTTGATATCCCCCCTCCCTTCTTACCTTTAGGGTTAGGGGTACTGCTGGGGAGGGTAGGGGTTACTGCTGGGGAGGGTAGGGGTTACTGCTGGGGAGGGTAGGGGTTACTGCTGGGGAGGGGGGTTACTGCTGGGGGGTTAGGGGTACTGCTGGGGAGGGTAGGGGTTACTGCTGGGGGGGTTAGGGTAGGGTTAGGGGTTACTGCTGGGGGGGTAGGGGGTACTGCTGGGGGGGTTAGGGGTTACTGCTGGGGAGGGTTAGGGGTACTGCTGGGAGGTGGGGTTACTGCTGGGGGAGGGTAGGGGTTACTGCTGGGGAGGGGTGGGGGGGTACTGCTGGGAGGGGTAGGGGTACTGCTGGGGAGGGTAGGGGGTACTACTGGGGAGGGTAGGGGGGTACTACTGGGGAGGTGAGGGGTTGCCCACTGCTGGGGAGGGTAGGGGTTACTGCTGGGGAGGGTAGGGGTTACTGCTTGCTGGGGGGTTAGGGTTACACTGCTGGGGGGAGGGTAGGGGGTACTGCTGGGGAGGGGTAGGGGTACTTTTTCTGGGGGAGGGTGGGGTTACTGCTGGGGAGGTGGGGGTTACTGCTGGGGGTGGGGTTACTGCTGGGGGTGGGGTTACTGCTGGGGGGCAGGGGTTACTGCTGGGGGAGGGCAGGGGTTACTGCTGGGGGTAGGCGTTACTGCTGGGGGGGTAGGGTTACTGGGGGTTAGGGGTTACTGCTGGGGGTTGGGGGTTACTGCTGGGGGTTAGGGGTTACTGCTGGGGGGTTAGGGGTTACTGCTGGGGAGGGTAGGGGGTACTGCTGGGGAGGGTAGGGGTTACTGCTGGGGGTTAGGGGTTACTGCTGGGGGTTAGGGGTTACTGCTGGGGAGGGTAGGGGTTACTGCTGGGGAGGGTAGGGGTTACTTCTGGGGGGGGTAAGGGTGCTGTGTCAGTATACCCCCCCTCCCTCCTTCTTACTTTTAATGAAGGGGGGGGGACACACAGCGATCCCTGGTGGTCTGGTGGTGGTAAGCACTGCAGGGGGAGGGCTCCAGGAAGCAGCTCCCCTGTCCTCCTGCGCAATGCTGTGTGGAGCGTTGCCATGGTAACGCGCGGCAACGCTCCACACAGCATCGCGCGGGAGGACAGGGGAGCTGCTTCCTGGAGCCCTCCCCCTGCCTCCTGACCCGGAAGCAGAGTAGGCGCCTGCCGTTTCGGGCAGGCAGGCGCCTACTCTGCATTGATGGCGAACCTGTGGCCGCGTGCCCACAGAAAGGGCCCGGCGTGCTACCTGTGGCACGCGTGCCATAGGTTCGCCATCACTGAGCTAGACGATCCCGGGACCATGTACCCCAGTTCACCCCCACCCGGTAAAAATGGACAATGTATAAAGTCATCCAGTTTGGACACGGGAAAGACTACGAACTGCACGTGTTCAGCAGCTAATAACAGCAATACTATTTTGAACGACACGACAGCGCTAATAAACCTGACACAATTGATGTAACACCAAGTCCAAAACCTGTATGTTACACTATCCATGTACCTTTGAAAATAAAGAATTTATAAAAAAAAAAAAAGCCAACACTACGTACAAACATACCACTTCATTTAAATGCAAACACTTCACACAAGTACACCACTGCATTCAATGGTAACAGTAAATACAAATACACCCCTACATGCACAGACATACTCTATACAAAAACATGCTTACATTCAAATGCACAAACACTGCTCATATATACAACCCTACAAGAATGGCCAAATGGTAGAACCCCAGCTGACATAGCAGCTGACATATCCACTATTGCACCAGAGGGGAGACCCCCCAAAAATTCTTGCACCAGGCCCTCTCTACATTAGTTCCATTACTTGGTTGGAGTGGAAGCCGTGATTGCATTCCAGGGAGCTGGGGGTTGGGAGTGGAGGGAGGGCAGGATCCACGGGGC